TTTTTTCTTTTTGCAAAATCTGCCTCATTATTTATGTTGTAAACTGTTCAATAAATATTGAATTAAACAAAATGAAAGAACAAAGCGATATTATTTTTTATTGACGCCCTAAAATATACACTGGAAACAATAAAAATAGAACAATTAATCGTGTGATTTCGGAACAAATAATTATTTTTTTAAGCATAAATTCACGCGTTTTACATGATTTCCGGATCATTAAAGTATCGATATCATGTGACTTCGAAACCTGGTTTGATTACTATTCTTTTTTAATTCCAATTTTTTTTTTTTTTAATTTTTAATTTTCGCAATATTTTCATTTTATTTTTATTTTTGAATTAATTACTTTAGTTTGAACTTTGAATTATCTTAATTCTCTTATATTTTTAATCCCGCGAGTATTTTAAATTTATTTTAATAACCGCATTTTTTTTTTTTTATGTAAAGATTTAGCTACGCCACAAATTTTACATGAATAAAATCGATTTTACATTGCGTAAAAAAATTGGAATTCCATTAAAGTCCAAAAATTACTATGTCATTATTGCATTGAATGCTTACTTTTATTAGCGTGACATACCATAACATTTTATTTTCTTCCTGCATTGCAGTTACAAGAGTTTTGTAATAATACATAAGACTAATATGCAAAATTCGATAGGAGAAATCCAAATTGCTCATCATTTGCGCCACCATAATTGGTGAATATATTATATATATTATTGATGGTATCGGTGCTTTGGGTGACTGATGTAATGTTGTTCTTGAAACTTCGGGAGAGTAGGAGAGTTCACCGGTAGCGTTGCAGGCGAACCCATATGAGATCCCGCAGATGATACTGGCTATCTCCTGCTTGACTTTCCTTACCAATCTACTTGACTTTCTTCTTACATTAGTATTATGGATATGTTGCTCAGTGTCTGATACTAGAAAAAGCAATCTCGGCCGCTTATCACATTAGCGAAGTAATATATATAGATGATAAATACCTGGCCTTTCTAAAATTTGGAGAATTCACCATAAAGTAATTATAATAAAAAATCGATATATTATATTATTTATGCGTGATACATACAAATATAGAAAATATAGCAGCATAGCCAACTGAATGTCTACTTAAAATCATGAGACGTCAATTGATATCTCGTTATTAATCGTATAAACAGTAAATTTGGTGCATTCCGCATTGTACTTAACATTCACTAAGGTGACATCTTCTGGAACATTAATCGTTGAAGTTTGAGCCACCATCATGGTAGAAATTAACAAGTAAATATCAAAGTATTCAGCATATTTTTTCGGCCTGTTTTACTGGATCTTAAATTCAGCTGCAGAAAAATTTTCAATTTTAAACTCATAGCCACCCAATTTTTGTTATCTTCAGTTACCGTCAAATCAAGAGCTTCATGAGCCCGGATTTTACTTCGAACAAGCAATTAATTGATGCCGGTAGTAGCACATTTATGGCACAATAAACCGCATCTTTAAAGGCTTTTTCCGATGGGCTATGTAGGTTCTTACTCGTGCGTCTACGATTGTTGCCGGTGTGATAATGTGTAATGCATATGTTAACAGGGAGAGAGGGTCTATCACGTCTTGTATTGACAAAATTTCCTTTGCGGCCAGACCATTTGGAAGACAACACGAAAAAATGACGTTGCTAGTTAAAGAAACTTTGTTTGTGAAAACTCCTATTTTCTTTTTGGTTAAGGGGACGAGAATGCCGATGTGGAGTAAATCCATTTCTCAAGATTCATCTTGTGAAACCACAGACATAGGATAAATAATAAATTAGATTGATCCATATTTCGCAATACTTCCTTAATCTTTATATGGATCCTATTCAGATAATGTTCAAGTTTTCTTTCAATATAAGGCTCTATGCTGCTGATGAGTCCTCCCGAAAATTGTGAAAGAACCTCAATAGAATCATAAAAGATGCCAGATGTCCGAAGGACTCGCGTGCAATGATTGTCTGTATATCCCTCGGGATACTTTTATCAAAGAACTTTTCAAATAAGTGAAAGAGTTTTGCCCGTCTCTTCAAATGTGAAGAATGGCATCGGGAGGAAGGTGGCTTTGTTAAAAGGAGATCCAAGTAGGTTAATCATTATCGTACAGCAAATCTAAGACTTTAATAGTGCCCACACAAACATAGGTAACTTTATTGGCAGAGAGAGTTTAAATAAATCACTTGCCGTCATCTGGAGTTCCTGGGATTCGACCATATCGAATCCTGTGCCCTTTAAGTCAATCATGTCGAAATGCGCAGGAACTATGTTGTTCTTAATGAGTGACTCCTTGAGCGCAATTACAAAGGAGAACTTGCCACTTTGGTATGGTCCATGGATGATATAAGACTTTTCATGGAACATTCCACTATACACTGTGTTAAAGATTTGTCGTTCGTATATGGGAAGCGCGATACTGCCACTGTAATGGAAAAATAATCCTTCAATCGATATAATAGGCAATCGAATAATCATATTTTCTCTTTCTGGACGATTCTTGCTAATCGTGCATTAAGATATGATAGGGAATCAAAGAGGCAAAAGATGAAAATTTTATAATTTACAAGCGAAAAAAAGCGCAAAGGTCCGTGTCACATTCATGTTGACCAATTAATATGACGCAAAGGTTTACCTCGATGTTCATCTAAATGATTAGGGGACCAAATTCGGCGAAGTTAGTTAATGAGCACCGAATATTCAAAAGTTGTCACGTAACTTGGAACATACCGGTCTTCAAGAAAGTCGCCTTTATAGAGTCAAGTTCGCTTTAGGCATTTGGAAAGTATTAAGAAGCTTTATCTATTTCAATTTTTATAAAAGTAAAAGCGTAGGGTGGTCTTTTCTTTTTCAGTAAAAGCGAGACTATTAATTATTTCGCAAATTTTTGTGTCGGACATTTTGCTTTTTTGTAAAAAATTCTTATAAAATACACGAGACAAGAGAATAAAATTGGTACCTTATATATTTATTCTTGTTTATAAATACAAATTTTCATCAAACTTTCTATCAAACCTTCACCATTTTAATAATATAAAAAGTGATTTCACGCGTTGTTATGAAAAATGATATTCGGAATATTTATCGGAGGTCAATAGTTATTGGTTGGGATAAAATATCGGCCACCCCGAAGGATATTTTACATCACAGCTCCTAATCAATTGCCGTCATTTTTTACTAATATTTTTCACGGTATATGCTGACCAATCAAATTAATACAATGACATTCTCTTTCGAAATTCAATTATTAATAGATATTATTTCAATTAATTATTTTTGAATGTAAAAAGAAAATTTGAAAAGGTACAATTATGAAAAATTGTTGTTTCCCCTAGAGAATTTGAAGTCAAAGAAATTTCTTGAAGAGGAATTTGCGATTTTGAAGAATTATTATTATTGTAAATTATGTTATTTGATACAATTGAGTTATTTTGTTTAGAAAACTCAGTAATATTAATCAATGAGTTTAGAGTATCAAGTTGTTGATTTACATTAATATTTTTATAAGCACGAACCCCTTGAACACTTTTATGACAGTATTTTACATTTTTTTTTCATTGTAGAGATATATTTAAAATTTGTTTTAGATCCATTCAAATTAAAGAAACAAAATAAAAAGCACGAAATTCATCAAATTTTGTTTTCAAGTTTTTGGTAGATTTTTCAGTATTTTTAACTTTTGCTTTTTCACGACAAAAGGAAGCCTTTTCTTGAGCAGTGTCTTGGAAATTATTTATAGTAAAGTTCTTAAAAATTAAGCTAGCTGCCATTTGAAAACTAGGAAAGTGTTTGTTAGATACATTAGGAAATTTTTATTCTTTTTACCCATGATTAAAGTAAAAAGGAAGAATAAAAATAACGGTGGATCAAAAAGCTTAGCTTATTATATTTTAATGTTGTATGACATAACTGTGATATTTCACGGAGTCACTAGGGAATATCATGATTTTTAGACTTCTCCTGTGTAACCTTCAAAAATGTCACGAAATTTCGTGATATAATTTGTCATTGATGTCTAAGTAATTAAAATCTATTTGTCACTACTATACGTCAAATGTGCGTCATAATTAATTCCAGCCAATTGTCGTGATGCTGGCCATTTCGTGACATATTTTGCGCCGTGAAAAATAATTATTATTTATTGCTAAAATTTGTGGCGCAATTAAGCCCAATGTCGCACAGTTCTGGGCCACTACAGCTGTTTATCTATATAATTTTAAAATATTGCAATAGTTAGAATTTGCAAAAAAAAAAAAAAAAAAAAAAAAATAAAATAAAAAAAAAAGAACCATGTCAAAAGATTATATTGGTTGGTTAGAGAAAGCAATTGCCGATGAACATATAAAATTGTATAAATACTCGGATTTCCAAATTAAAAAACAAATAGGGAAGGGTGCGTATGGAAAAGTTTATCGTGTTGTTTGGAAAAATAAACGTATTTTCGCTTTGAAATCTTTTAATAGTCAAGAAGTCATCAAAGAAAGTGTGGAAGAGGTAAAATATGCTGTAATTATTTCAATCAAAAAAAAAAAAATTACATTAAAATGTTTGTTAATATATTATAACAGTTGAAACTGCACATGAAAGTTAACAATCATGAAAATATTATACGGATATATGGAATCACATTGACAAATCCAAGTCTGTATTAGAAAAATATTATTGAATTTTAATACTATTACTTTTTAATTTATAAATTCTTTTTATTATAGATGTATACTCATTAGTCTTAGAGTATGCTGATAGCTGCACATTGAAAATTTATCTAAAAAAGCATTTTAATGAACTAAATTGGGACGACAAATATCAGTTGGCACTTCAACTATCAAGTGCTGTAGAATTTTTGCACGAAGAAGATATTATCCATCGTGATTTGGTAATATAATTGACTATTTTTTTGTTTGAATTGCCAAATGTGTTATTAATATTATTTATGCAATTGTAGCATGCCAGCAATATACTCGTGCATCAGAAAAATATTAAATTAACAGATTTTGGTTTAGCAAGAAAAATTACAGATATTTCAAATAATGCATCAGAAATATTAGGAGTAATACCTTATATCGATCCAAAACATTTAAATAATACATGTTATAAATTAGATAAAAAGTCTGATGTTTATAGCATTGGAGTGCTTATGTGGCAAATTTCAAGTGGACGTTCACCATTTAATGGTGATTATGATGGAGGGTTAATCATTAATATAATCGGCGGAACAAGAGAAAAAACAATTAATGGGACTCCTATTGAATATTGTAAATTATATGAAGGTAAATGAATGCAGTATCTTTTTTAATGATATGTGCATACTTATATACAGAATTAAGTTTGATTTCATTATTAGATTGTTGGAAAGATGAACCAAATGAACGTCCAAATGTGCAGGAGGTTGTTTCATCTCTTGAAGAATTAATTTCTCCCAATCAAAAATATAAATTTATCGATAATATTAATGAAAATGATTTTAATAGCAATGAATCTAAATTAAGCAAAGGAATTATATCTCATGATTCTGATTCTAAGATTCATAATTTAGAAATTTCTGATACAAAACAAGATCCAGTTCAATTAAATACATTTATTGATAGTAGTGTAACTGATTTAATCAATACTGATGATAATAAAGGAGAACTTATAGAATTACATTCTAATTCTAATACAACATCAATCCTCGATGGAATAGAAACAACATCTGAAACTTTAGCTCCCTTTGCAAGATTTTTACCAATTATTACAGAGGTTTCCAAAATATTCAATGAAATAGAAGAAATATATCAAGAAGCAGAACATAATAAAAAAATATGTGGGATATTATTGGATAGAGTCCAAATAGCTGATACAGCCGTAAGGAATTTAAAAACTCGTAGGGATGAAAATGTAGAATTTTTTTCAGTAAAAAATTTTTATAATTTGCAAAATTTGGTTAGTATAATTGGTAAAATACATAAATTTGTTGGAGAAATAACTCAGTTAACAGGTTTATCCAAATATATTCGATCTAAAAGCATTGAACGTGATATTAAAAAATTAAGCAGTGAATTTGATTCCATTATACAATCAATGAATTTTACCCTGACGATTGATTTTAATATAAATGAAATTAAAGAGAATGAAATCATTAAGTCTGATATCAAAGAGTTATTTCAGGTAATGTATTTATGCATAAGTTGACTCTTATAAATACAAGTATTTTATTTTATAGAATTCTTACGTCTTCATATAGTACCTTAGAGATATTGGCAGCGGTATAACTGACGTGGATCAAAATGTTTCAGAAATCGTCGTGCAAATTAAGGCTCTTAACATTGCTTTGAATCAAATGACAGTAGCTAATTCAATATCAGATGTTTTCCAAAGTGAGATACTTGAATATAATGATTTTGAAGAAGAAGGTGATCACATAGAAAATGTAAGTGTAAGAAAATTTAAGAGAAGAAAACATGGATTGAATGATTATGTCGCATTAAAGTTGGCAGCTGATAGGGATAGCAGTGAAGATGATAAAAATAATATTAGAAATCAGGTCACTATGTTAAAAAAACTGAAAGGATGTCAATATATTATTCAATTTCATGGTTTGACTACTTATGATGATAAATTTTATTTGGTGACGGAATGGGCTGATTATGGCAATTTACGTGAATATTATCAAAAACATGGTCCACTTGAAGTTAAAATGAAAGTAAGACTTGCTCTTGACATTGCTAGAGGCTTAAATTTTTTGAGCGCCGCTTCGGTAATATATATTTTAATTTATTCATCCCCCAAGAAATTTTCTTATCTAAACTAACCTGTATTTACTTATGGTGATAAACTTGTCTCGATAGATCGTTCATCGTGATATTAGGGCAGAAAATATCTTAATTACCAATCATGAAACTGCTAAAATTACAAATTTTAAATCAAGTCGAGCAGTATCCGAGCGTACTAGGAATCAAACAGCAACACTAGAAGCTATGCGATATTGCGCTCCGGAAAGGTTATATGGAAAATATAAATATGATACCAAGTGTGAAGTTTATAGTTTTGGTATACTACTTTGGGAAATTGCCGAAGAAAAAATTCCTTATGAGAAATTTGGTGCTGATATTATGGTTATACAAGAGCAAGTTTGCATCAAACAATACCGTGAAAAATTTTCTCTCGGTTCCCCTATACCAAAAGAATATCGAGAACTTGCAGATAAATGTATTAAAATATTTATTTATTTTTTAAAATAAACAAATTTGTCCTTTATATTTAAATACTAACCTTCTATTATATTTTATTGTGATATAACTATCTTAGCTGTTCATCCCGATCATAATTTTCGGCCTCAATTTTCAAAGATTTTTACCACGCTACAAAATCTTTATAAGAAAGTTTGTAGACCAATACCATCACCTCGTGTTAATGTTGCGTCAGACCGTCAGGATATTTCTGAATCTGAATTTTTATTAGATGATGATGATGATGCAGATAAAATTATTATACCAAATTATGCAGATTTTGATTATTTAACAGTAGATGAAGCAGCGAAACAACATAAAATTCCTGGAGGCAAAGACAATATCAAATCAGCTTATAAATGTTTTGAAGCATATGCAGAATTAGGTAATGTGAAAGCAAAATATATGAAAGGCTACTATATTCAACAAAATTTAGTTAAACTTGATTTGGACCAAGTAGCAAAAGATGAATTAGTAGCAGAATTATATAAAGAAGCAGCGGATGAAGGAGATGAATTTCCTGAAGCCCAATTACGTTATGGTAGTCTTTTATTTAAAGGCATTGGAGTACAAAAGGATATAAAAGAAGCTGCGTTATATTTTACCAAAGCCGCTGAAAATGGACAAGTCGTTGGTATGTTTAATGCTGCTGCTTTATATTTCTCTGATAAATCTGGTATTAAGGATGAAACATTGGGTGCAAGATATATGAGATTAGCCGCTTATAATCGACATAAACAAGCTATTGATTATTGCAAGAAAAATGGTTTGCCTTTGTAATCCTTTTTTATTATTATTTATTATTTCAAGACAAATTGTTGGTTTATTATACATCTGATAGATTATGTATTTAATGATGTATTTCATTTTATATTTAACATTACATTTATTTGACCTGCTTTTTTTAAAAAAAAAAAAAATACTTTTTCAATGAAAGTATCGATTTATTTTAAAATAAATTTCAAACTATTCATTAAGGTTATATATTATTAATTGATGATAGGCTTAATTTATTTTATTAACTTTTCTTTGGAAATTTTATTACAGATGTTTTTAAATTTATAGATTAAAATCAAATTCATAAAATTATAATTAATTATATAAAATTCATAACATCAGGAAAATTTTGATGTAACGTAAGACGCTTGACGAATGAAAACGATCAACATGCTGCAGCTTTATTTGGAAAGGTTTATGTTTTTTATTGTCCAAATTTTCAATTTTTTTTTTTTTAAAAAAATTAAATATAAAAAAAAATGTCAAACCAATTTTTAATAAAATTAAGTCAAAATTATATTGAGTTGTTAGAGGATGATGAATACTACGATGTTACAATTGGGGTTGGGGAAGATCCTAATGTAAAAAATTCCGTACGCATATGAATATTTTATGCTATCGTTCTCCATATTTACGAAGAGCTTTAGGTTCAAAACAAAGGAATAATGATATCTTGGCCCATTTGAAGTTGCCATATATTTCACCGAAAATCTTTCTAATTATTTTGAAATAAGTTGAAAAACATGAAATGTAATTAATATTTTAAATGTTGAAAAAGATTTTTTTTTTTTTTTTTTGTAATTTAGATACATTTATGGTGGGATATTTTCATTAGATGATCAAGATGCTTCAGACTTCCTTAAGGTCTTGGTAGCTGCTGATAATCTTTTTCTGCTAGAACTAGTTGATTATTTACAAAAATATCTAATTGAAAATCAATCAGGGTGGAATGAACAACACTTTGAACTTACTCATCAAACAAGTTTTCAATCAAAAAATTTTTTGGAGCTACAGAAATTTTGTACAGATTTAATGGCTAAATCACCCGAGAGAATATTTAAGTCGTTTGATTTCGTTTCGCTTTCCGAAAAATCCTTAATATCACTTGTTAAAACGAGACGATTTTCAAATGAAGGAAAGTGAAGTTTGGGAATATGTGTTAAAATGGGGACAAGCGCAGAATACTACCATTAATCCTGATCCTGATACTTGGACAGATAGTGATTTCAAAGGCGTGCAAAATACTTTACAGCATTGTTTGCCTTTAATAAGATTTATTAGCTTATCTTCTAAAGACTTTCTACGGAAAGTTCGTCCATATAAAAAACTATTAAAGCATCAACTTTATGAAGATTTATTAGAATCATATATAGATCCTGATAGTGAGCCAGCTGATAGCAACATTTTATTGCCTAGGAATGTTAAGATTGATACATTTGTAGATACAAAAATTGTCAATTTAAATATAGTTTCAACGATTTCAAGATGGATTGATAAGATAGATTTTAATAGTAAATTCTCCCATTTAAGAGAATTATATTTACCGTATAAATTTAAGTTACTATTGAGAGGAAGTCGAGATGGGTTTACTCCTAAAAAATTTCATGCATTGTGTGATAATCAGTTTAATACTGTAACCTTTATTAAAGTAAAAGGAACATCTGAAATTCTGGGAGGATATAATCCTTTGATATGGAAATCTGAGGATGGTTTTGGTAAAACTAAATATAGCTTTATATTTTCATTTAAACTTGAGGATAACTTCATCAAAGATGCAATTTTGAGCAACATTAAGAATATGGATAATGCATTATGGTATAATAAGATAAGCGGACCACGTTTTCGTAAAGATCTTTCAATTAACGAGTTAACAAATTATGATACTTTGTATTGTAAAAAGGACCATTATGAAAAAATATAAGGGATACTGACGCTAATTTTTCTTTAGAAGATTATGAAGTATTTCAAGATATTAGAAAATAAGTTAATTATTACATTAATTGACCTCCGGATGTTTTCGTATAAAAATTTTTTATTAAAATTCGATATGTAACTAATAATAATAATTACATCGAGTCCAATAATTGTAAAGCATTTAGCACTGTTTAGCTACTTTCGTACAAGAACTGTAATATTCGCTAAAGTGATAACTTATAAATTATTACGTGAAATTATAATGCGAGATTTTTACATATAGCTTGACTAACACTTTTTTCGCGTTCCGATGTGCGATGTTTCAAATTCTGCATGTGAAAACAATTTATTCTTTTTTTTTGTCATTTGATCTCGAAGGTGATAAATATCTGTAAATTGCTTTTATATGTTCACAATTTCAACTACAATTTGTAAACATGATATAATGTGATTACAATCATTTCTTCATAATCTCTAGGCCTTCAATTACATCTTTCTTAAAAATAGATATTTTTTTGACCCAAAGTAAAACTTATATAATAATAATGAATTTTATAAGCTATTAGAGTAGAATTTATAAAGTAACTTAGGTTACTATTTGGAGCTCAGAAATAAAATTTAATACTTCAATTAATAATAATAGAATCACATTTATTTATTTGTTTATAATATTACCGTTGAGCTTAAGAGTGTACTTCTTATTAGGGTTGCCTGGCAAAACTCTGAGATTTTGTCAGGTAAATCGGGATTAGTTTTTGATGGGTTGCCCTAGTCATTGGACTCGAGTCAAAAAAAAATTACTCGAGTCAAGTAGAGTCAAGAATACTTTTGACTCGAAGAGTACTCGAGTCAGAATTCAAGTCAGAATTCGAGTATAGGATTCGAGTATCTGACTCGAGTTAGCATTCGAATACTGTGCATTCGAGTGTTAACTCG